AAAAAGGTGATTTTAAAAACGGGGATGAGGAGTTTAAGGTAAAAAGAATACTGGTTAATCTTCTCACAGAACAATAAAGTTCGTAATCCACTGTCCTTCCCAGTCATCCTCAGGAGAGCTCAAACCATATACTTGCCTTTCGGTGTATGCCAGTGTAACTCCAGATACAGCATTTTAAAGTAAGATAACATATTATTGTCAGTGTTTTCATAATTGAAGATAAAACAAGAGAAAGTGTGGTAGATTTTTTAAAGGAATAGTTATTGGGCAGCCTGCCTCAGTTAAGACAGTTTTAGCTCTAGGTGCTTTAAAATTGACTGTTTTGCAAAGAGGGTATCTGGAAAAAGTGAATATGAATATACCGGTGCCAGAGTTGGAACAGTTAGTGTTGTAAACCAGGCTGTCCTTTGCTTGGGAGAGGCTTAACCAATTAAGACAATTGTAGAGGTTGAAGAGATTTCTAAAACTAAAGCTCATTTTTATAATCCTTCCAAATTTTGCAGCACCACCTCAATTGCATCTAAGTGCAGCTTTTGTATTAGTAATTTGAAGTTGGCTTAGTGGTAACTACCAGTTTGTCTTTGAAATTCATTTGCTGTGTACTGTTCCTCTTCAGTTGGTAGGGTGTTTGCTTTTAAACTGAGAATGCTTTAAAAAAGGTTCTTTCCTAACATTCTCATTACACAATTCTAAACCCTTCTGTTGAACATTATCATAAATTTTAAAATAGTCACCCCTCCAAAAAAAAATTTCCCCTTGCCATTTAACTTTAGGAAGTTCCCTAGGAACGTTTATCCATTAACTCAGGAGCGAATGTCATTGGTTGAAAACTGCTGCTTGGGCTTCTGTTAAATAATGAGAACTTCAGAACAAAATGGAAGTGTCAAATTACTGACCAACTCTACAAAGTTGCCAATAAATATTTATTTCTGTACTTCATTGATCTTCATGAACTCAGCAATAGGGAATTAGGGCACTTTATACCAGGGAACAAATCTTTTCCTTCTCCTTTCCCTTTTTGTTTCTTTTGTTGTGATTCTCTTCCTTCTGAAGTATTAGGTACTCTTTAAGCTAGATAGAAGTGAACTGTATCCGGGCCTGGCTATATCTTTTATACCCTTCTTTTAAAGCACCAGCCCAGGAAAGTGAGGACCAGCTAGGGATGAGAAGGCAGATAGCACTAATGTACATTCACTGGTCTGTGATCTATAACAGAGTATTGTCACAGCCACTTCCAGATGTCATAAGCCTCCCCTCCCAGTCCGCTTTCATCTTGTCCTTAACTCCCAATATAACTTCTGAGAGAGATACCAGGGTAGCCACAAAAGCAGTGACATTAGCCTGGGAGATTAGAATCTGGAGTGCTCATTCCTTATTTCCTGTGCAAAACAAACTGGAGTGTCAACATTTCATGATTTTTTCCCTTGTGTCTACCATAGGCCAGAGGGGATAAACAGGTGTCAGCTGGTGTGGCAGCTCTGACCAGTTGATCGGTGGTGGCCGCCGGGAGCACGTTTTTGAGACAGTTTAGCTAAGTGAGAGTTTGCTGTGCAGTGGGTGAACCTACTTAGCTTTACCAGGAAGCATTTTTGCAGGGTTTGATTTTGTACCTTTTGAAAACTTGGGTGGAGGAGGAGGGAAGAAGTGGGGGTGCAGGTAGGCAGGGATCACAGTCTGTGTCAACACTAAAACAAGGACACCGACCTAGAAGTCTGCCGATACAAAGCAATTTACTTGGTATTTTATGATTTGTGTCTCTGCTTCCTTGGTTTGTTGATAGTAGAAATAACATCACTTCTTTCTTTATTTTATTAAATCATATTGACCTCTTTTTGAGCAGTACATTTATTGAAGCCTCATTTGAGCAGCCCCAGCAAGGACTGGGCCTCAGTGCATCCCAGCTGCATTTTTGGAGCATTACCACGCCCACGTTTTCCAGGATCAGTTCCTTTCACGTCCTTCCTTTCTCTCTGTGATGCCTCTGAGAGACAGGATACTCATTTTTATTTAAAAAAAAAAATGTTTCTTTTATTTTTTAATTTTTAAAATTGAGGTGAGGAGTAAGACCAAACCAAGACAGAGAATGTCCTGGAATGTCACATTATTTTATTGTGTAGTAGTGAAATTCCAGTGCACTGTAGATTTTTAAAAACAATTTCATCAACTCATCTGTCATTGCTCTTAACTGTTAAATTTTAATACTCATCCAAAGTATTTAGGTCATCAGTATGACCTTATAAATAAGTTTGTTTAAAGCCTTGTAAAAACTTGTATGCCTTGATTTTCTAAGTTGTGGAAGAAGAAAATGGAAGCCACCCACCCCCAATAATATAGTAGCTCATTTCCCCACTCCTTAGTCCCTGGAAGTAAATACATTGGAGCAGTGATAACTCTGCCATGTCATGGTCCTTAATATCGCTCTCTTTCCTGGCTTAAAGAAACGCTTCCTTTTCATCCTTATCTGGGGGGCTATAATGTGGATAAGACTGGATGAAGAGGAATTTGGTGGTTTGCTATCAATCTTAGGCTTTTACCCTTTGTAGGCTAAAAATGCTATTATGAAATCTGTTGTATTCAGGTTATTTGAGGGGAGATTTAGCAAGATTGCAGAATACTTCTCAGAGAAATGCATTTTTATTTATAAAATTTATATGTATTTTTATTTTAAATATGAATGCCTACTGAAGGCCCTGCCTTAGCTAATAGAGAAACCATTTTTTATAATTAGAATATTCAGTGAATAATTTGGAGTGGTAACATTTTGACTGGAAAGAGCTCTCTGATCTTTTTGGAGATGGGAAAGCTGAGCACAAGAGAAAGATGGTAGCTAGACAGGAAGTCTGTGGGATATCTCAGAGCTAGATCTCTAGATGACAAGTCGTCTTTCTGCTATGCAAGTTGGTAGACTCTAACTTCTGCTAATGTTATCGATAAATTGTATAGTAACAGATGTTTCGTAAGTACTGTTTTTTTTTTTTTTTTTAAGATCGTTCAATAAAATCGTGTTTTTACTGTCAATTGCTTGACAATCTCTGCCCAGTATCTCTTTCTTATATCTTTAGAATAAACAGCAAATTGTGTTCTAGCCCCTGGTTTTTTTTTTTGGTGGTATTGAAACTTTTCATTTGGAAGTTAATTTTGATTAAAGTTTATTTCTCACATCAGTTATTTTACTTCAAGTTAAAAGAATCATGACATTTTAAAGCAGAAAGAGACCTTAACATTGATTCTATACCACTTCCCAAATTCGCGTGGTTGATATAAATCTATTAAACTAGCTAGGGCAGATTCTCGTATATGCCAGAGAGAGAAAGGATTAAGGTAAAAGGGTAACTGATATAGGAAGATTAGAGTATTAATTTTATACTGCTGCTGCTGCTGCTTGAGATCATCATATTATGTGTAAAATTGATTTCTAAGGTTGTGGTGTTTTCAATAGTGGTTTAAAATATAACATGGGCTGTATGACTTTGCTTTCTCATTTTATTAACAATCTATAGAAACACTGGTTTGGTATATAAAAGTGTTGGATATCACCCCTTTCTCCCAGACCCTTAAAAACAAAGAACAAAAGAAATAATGGTAGTCAAACTATCTCTATATTAACTTTCTCCCCTTTTTCAGGATGAATAAATCCACTTTCAAAATAGACTCGCTTAAGCTGGTGTACATGTTGACAGTGTAGACATCTTCTAGCTTTGTTGCAACTTTGCCACGGGCCTAAGAAGGTTCCTGCAGCGAGTGAGAGTAGAACTTTGTTTGGGTCTTTCCTTTTCTCTAGCTTTGCTAAATAACAAAAGAAAAACTAAGAAGATACATTAATTCTTGAGTAGTATCATCTTTTATCGTGAGAAATATAATCTTTAGAATAAGCAGATATATAATTTATTTGCCTGATAACAACAGGTGTTGAAAAATAAGACCATGTCCATATGAGGAAGGCTCTTTTATACTTTACAACACTGAATCTTGTTTGCTCTGTAAAACCATAGTACCGTTATAACCATGGAAATGACAGAACGTTACTTTAGCTAAAAACTAATTAAGACATTTGAAAATAAAATGGTTAACTTCCTAATTAAGCACATATGTTTATTGAGCATGGTCATGCATTTGTTATAATAGGAGTAGCTTGGATATTATGTTGAGTATAGAATTTTATGCTGTATCTACTGTTATTGGACTGTAATTGCTTTTTGCTTTGGTGTCTTGTTTCGTATATTGTCTATTTGCACCTATTTTTCTAGTTAGTACTGCTCTAAGTCAATAACATACATTATAGTCATTTGACAAAACTGAGAGTAACTAAAACTTTTCTTTCCATATATGGTGATTAAAATGTAACTTTATTAACTGTTCTGATGAAAAAAAGTGTTACTTAACACAAAGGAACACACAGACAAGAGAAACACGTTCATTTTAAAATTTAGCATATGCAGTAGGGGGCACCAGATGAAGGCAGAAATGAATTCTTACATTTTAAATTAGCTACAGCCTGTATCCTGTTTATATTTAATGTGATAGCTGTTTCCCCATTAGTTTTACTGAAGGTTTTAACTTTTCAGTTCTAAGAGCTGCATTGAAGAAGAGATTGATAACTTTTCTTACTTATTAATGCAAATGCAACTTCTTACAACCAGTTTATTAATTAAACAGATATTTTCTTAAACCTTTACTATTTTCTGAGTTTAAAAACGGGGAGTGGGAACCACAGGTAATAATTTCTTATTTAGAACAAGGCATTAATATTGTATTTTTAATAACCTTTCTATAAAATGGTTTTTTATTAGAGGAAAAAAAAGGAAAGCCCCAGTGATTTGAAAGCTTAATTTTGTTTTCTTTGTATGTGGCTGCATGAATTGTTGAATCTGAAGCCTATTGCCTATAGCTAATAAACAGTTCCATAGAAATTTATTTCCAAAAAGGCTTATTTTTAATATTAACATCATTAAATAGTTTTTTTTGTTTGTTTGTTTTATTCCGCCCTGCTTGACATCTAGTCCAGTATCAGATGGAAATGATGCGGAGCCTTCGCCATGTAAACATTGATCATCTCCACGTGGGCTGGTACCAGTCCACATACTATGGCTCGTTCGTCACCCGGGCGCTCCTGGATTCTCAGTTCAGTTACCAGCATGCCATTGAAGAATCTGTCGTTCTCATTTACGGTTAGTGGGAGGTTCCTTTATTATTCTTTTCTTCCCTTAATATTATTACTACTATTTTTGCTTTCTGTCTTTTTGCCTCTAAGAGCAGCCTGGCAGGGCTTCTCAAGTAAATACCAACCCTGTTTCTGCAGCAGCCTCAGCAGCAGCTAAGTCTAGACAGGGTTTCCTTCTTTCTGTTTATTTTTCTTGCTATCAGAGCCCTGATGTGTACGTTTTGGAATGCTGGAGTAGCTGCTTCATTTTTATTCCTCCATCTCCCCTCCCTCATTGCAGGAGCTGGTGGAACTAGACCAGATGTCTAACAAACCCCGATTGCTGGAGTGTCTGGCTCTGTACGTGACTGACCAATCATAACACAGCTTGCCAAGTTTTTTTTTTTTTTTTTTTAATGCCTCTGACAGCAGCGTACAAAACCTGGACTGTTTCTTAGCACAAAGATTTTTTTCTTTTCGGCCTATTTAATGGTGTTTCCTCAAGCTCTCCAGACCAGATGTTCTGTGCTGTATCAGAACTGTAGGCAATTTAACAGCTTTATAGCCTTCCCCCTCCCCAAACACTCACAGTTTGCCGTATCTGGCAGACTTGCATATAGTTTCCAGCTGAGAAGTAAATGTAACGTCCTGAGTATCTGTCAGAAAAAATACTAATGAATACGATCAATCTTATGAGCTGCCCCAAAATTGTTTCAGTATGTTAACAATTGGATTACAGTAAAGAACAAGTTGTTAAAGCGTACTTATATTGGCTGGAAACGTTGCATCATCAGACCTTGATGAATTTTCCACTTGTTTCAGTCTATTTTTGTTTTTACTTTAGCACCTATTGCTAAAAGTTTCACTGTGTTAAGTTTCAGACAACATGAATGTTAACACAGGTTTTAGGCGAATATTGGCGTGCCGGAGCCATTATCATGCAGCAAGTGTTAAGCTCTCTTACTCACGGAGTGTTTAAGCAGTTAGTTTGGATAAAATTAGTTTCTCTACAACTAAAAAGACACTTTGTGATAGCAGTTTGACTTTAGTCATTCTGTTTTCAGAATCCATTTTAACTAAGAAAGTTGAACAGTGATTATTAGAATGAATAAATTTTCTTTGCAGGGTTGTTCATTTTAAAATACAGAACTACAGAAATGCATGCAGTGAATTTTCATGTTTAATATTCATCAATTTTTTCTCCTAATTCTGTAAGATGAATTCCTGGTTCTAGCTGAGGAATTGATTTGAAAATAACACAACTGTATTTTGAGTCTTCTGTTTTTATTTCAGGGAGGAAATTATTCTACCTATTATATGTAGGATAGCTAGGACCCTAAATTTTCACTAACTGGTTTGCTAAAATGGGTTGGATCTGTTTCAAATTATGTTCTGATTATTTTTTATTTTGATCTTTATTTTGCAAAGACTGTGTGATAAATAACAAAATGTGCCCCAAATCAGTGTTGTTTGAGCACTGGTAGTGACAAATTCTTAGTAATTTTTTTTTCTTTTCCTTATTTGAGATCCCATAAAAACTGCCCAAGGGTCTCTCTCGCTGAAGGCATACAGACTGACTCCTAAGCTGATGGAAGTTTGTAAAGAGAAGGATTTTTCTCCTGAAGCGTAAGTGTTTTGGGTTTGTGAAGGCGTATGGTAAAAGTTTGGCACTTTTCTTTTAAAATTTTTGTTTGCCACATTTATTGAGTCCTCGCTGGTGGTGTGGTAACACTTTTGCCACGTGGACTGGAGAAGTTTTCTGCGTGGCCAAGAGTCACTTAATTTCTCCCTTTCCATGTTTAAACTATTTTTTTATGGAATGTCCCATCTGTTTTTCTCACCAAGGGCGAATTTTGTTAGGGTGAGAATTAATTAGCTACCGAATTTGAAGGAATAAATGATTGCGTAAAGGAAGATGGAAAGAGTGATCAGAGACTGTCAGATTGTAAGCTGTGTGTCGGAGCAGTTGTGAGCTGTATGTCTTCCTTTCTGAGCTCCTGTTTCATGAGGGAGTGGGAAAGATATAAACATTTTAAGGATTTGGTAAAGAGTGCAGCTTATTAGAAATTTAAGAATTTCCAATAATATGACTTGAGAATTTCCAATAACGTGAAGAGAACTAATTGATAGAGCTAGTTTGTCGTCCTACTTTATGGCATTGGAATAATTACATTAAATTTTTTTTTTTAAATCCTTTTATTTTCTGTTAATTATAGGAATTTTATTTATTAAATCAAAGTTAATGGTTTTGACTTCATTTAGGACAACTCATTGCTGTTTTCTCACTTGACCCCAAAAGAAATTAAGGCGCAAAGAATTTAAAATGAACTGTTCCTGGGTATGGTAGTTACAACTAAACTATGAGAAGCTGCGTTTGTGCTGTGTCCTGAACCATTGTATGTGGAGTATCCTGTGACTGTTTCGCTAGTTGTTAATCTCTTTAGTTCAGTAGGCTTCTAAAGTGAACTTTTCAAGAACGGGGGTATTCTCTCTTTTGCTATTTACTTTTAAAAAATGTTTTAGACATAGATTGTTTAGCATACCTTTCTATGATATTTATATTTCAGTAGCAATGAAATTTAAAGACACCTGATTATAAAGAATGAATAGGTTTGTTTTTTTTTTGGGGGTAAGAATCTTATTTTCAGGCTTAATAGTTCAAAACTCAGATCATTTTCAGAGTTATTCAGAACACTCAGCTTATACTTGACTAAAACTCTAGTTTCTCTCCCTTTTTAAAAAGATGCTTGCTAATGAAACATAAAGATCCTGGAGAAGGTTTGTATTTAGGTAAAATGTATGAAGCAGTCAATTTAATACCTACTTCTGACCACCAGAGTAAAGTGTTTTTAACATGCTTCACAGATTGAAAAAGGCAAATATCACCTTCGAGCACATGTTTGAAGAAGTGCCGATTGTAATAAAAAATTCACATCTGATCAACGTCCTAATGTGGGAGCTAGAGAAGAAGTCAGCTGTAGCAGATAAACATGAATTGCTCAGCCTTGCAAGCAGGTAAGTAGCCCTGCCTAATGAAAAGTCCCTCTTGAACACTGTCACTTCCTGCACAAGATTCTTTTACATATACTTTACTTACAAAACAAGAAAAAAATTACTTAAGAACATTTTGAGGTTAGTAAGATGTATGTAACAACATGTAGTACTTGTCGGGCCTTGTTAAGATACCAGGAAAAACGCCAGACTGATAAAGTGAACAGTGTTGGAATACTAAGTGCTCATGTTCTGAGAACCATTTGCTGTATCATTTGTGCTGTGATACTGTAAATGCCCCTGGGTTGGGGGTGGTGGTGGTGGTGGTGATTTGGCTGAGGTTTATTTATTGTATACTGTCCCCAGAGGCTTATGGTACTGTGTCTGGATATTTAATAACACTCAGGAGACAGAACTGCTTCTTTCTTTTACCGGTTGCACTTGCCCTTGCTCAGACGAAGATTATGTCAGTTGTAAGCTTCCAGTCGTTTGAGTTTTCAACTAAAATTTGAATTTTCTTAACCTAACACTGGCTTTTACCATCTTAGACAATAGTGACAAGTTTCCTCTAATGTGACTGCTTTAGCTACCTAGTTGCCAAGATATTATATATATATTAACACTGGTATAGTGCTGACTGAGTTGTTCCAAAACAGATTGTTCCCTTTATGGAATTGATGATTACTTTCTCCTCACCTGTTGCTTTTAACAGATATGTGAACAGAGTCATGTATATATCCTCTTAAATATGTTTTTGTGTGGTGGGAAATGGCTAGCAGCTGACCTGCTACAAGTCTAAAATTAGATGGACAGAGTAGGTGATTAGTCAGTATATATGTTGAATGACTGAAAGAAATAAATTGTATTTTCTTAAGCAACAAGTTTGGTGCAGAAGCTCAATTATTTTTATCAAAGTTCTAATTGTTTCAGATAGAAGCACACAAGAACATGCAGATTTTCAACTTCCCCAGTATAAGGGAAGTGAGATAAACCCAGAAGGACCACAGAGGCCAGTGTTCTTCTTCGCGTTCAGTATGGATAGGGCTGTGGTTGGAATGTCACCTTCCATTGCATGGGTCCATCATGAGGGCTACTAGAAAGTCTTTACGGGGGAGGGAGATGGCAACTGAGTGGTAGACGAAGTGCTAAGTGATACCATCAGGTCACAAGGCTAATTTTGGCACCAAAGACTGTACTGTTTGACTGCAAACATATATTCATAATGATCTTTTCATTTGTCTATTTTAGAAATTCATATTTTTCTTTATTGCTTTTATAAACACATTTGACGCACCTGTATTTAAAGCATTTAAGAACCTTTTTCAGCATGCAGGGTTATAATTTGATGTATTAAGTATATAGTTATAATTTTCTTGCTTTAAATTTACTACATGAAAGCTTTTGCTTGTATAATCCATGTCTTCACCTTTTCCCAAGCTTCCTTTATTGAGCATCAAAACAAATAAAACTCTCCTGGGCTTTGACATTACCAAAGAGCTGGTCTGTAATGTCTGTTTGTCTAAAGCAGCATTTATAATAGCCAGGAAAATGTTCCCAGTTCGCCATAGCAACGAAGCTCTAGACAAATACTTCGTTATAGTTTTTATCTTTTACATTTTACTTTTATGTATAGTAGGAAAAGACTCAAATGTAACTTTTGTACATCTAAATTTTTAATTTCTAATACTAGTAGTGTGATGGTGGTCGGCCAGTTGCCATAAAAATTTTTGTGAGACACCTCACCAGAAATCATTGTTAAGCAGCTCCTTAAACATTTGCTTGGTCTTGCCTTACACAACCTATATTTGGATACCAGTTCTTTGATTTACCTGATAAATTTGTTCTACACTATGAATAAAACATACCACATTCCCTTTAATTAAAAAAAAAAAAAAAAACCCTCCAAATTTTTAATTTTATTAGATGAAAGTTCTAATGGTTATTCCATAATAGCCTTTATTAATTTTTAAAAAAATGTGTTACATAAGCCTTCAGCTTTTCACACATGAAAAACAATTCTGTTTTTATTTCCTCTTTAAAAAAATAAACTAGAGGGTAGACATCATATATAAAAATAATAAGGGTGAGTTGATACCGTAGCCAGAGCAGACTTATCACTCCATGTCCTGGTACACATCTGTTTAAGTTATCTGTTTTCAGTTCTTTGTTTCCTCGGCAGTAAAAGAAAATTCTATATTATTGAAATTCCTAACAGTAATTCCCTGTTTCGGTGTTCTAGTTGAACTGGTACTGAAAAGATTCCCCATAAAATTGCTCTTGGTAATTGATCTGATTTCCTGTGAATGTCATCAGTGAAATGGTTATGCATAGTTAATTTCTTGTGCCCTTCAAGGCCTGTGCTGTGTAGTTTTTTTAGTATTTCTGATTGAATATATTTCTGAAGAGATTTATTTTAGTATAAGTTATGTGAAATGATCAAAGTTCACATATCTGTGTGTGTGGCAGTGTTCTTTCATTATTCTTATGTATGCTTACAGCACATAATGGATTGATACAGTGGCTGTAACAATGAGCTCAAACATAGCAATGATTCTGAGAATGGTGCAAGGCAGTGTTTCGTTCTGTTTGACATAGGGTTGCTATGAGTTAGAACTGACTTGACGGTACCTAAACAACAACAGCAATACACAGGACATAATATTAGTACTTTACATTAAAAACATTTATTTGGTGGGGGAGGGGGTCTGTTCTAGCGATGTCTTTTTCATTACTAAAAACGTTGTATAGTCAGTCTCTAAGATTAAAGATTTGGGTATAAATAATAGACTTTTCTCTGTATATATGGCAGTCCCTCTCTTTTTGTTTTTCTCCATTGCCACTGTTCCCCCTGTTTCCTCCCCTGACAACCTCTAGTCACAGGATTGGTAGTGACCTTTCCCTCCATAAATGATGTGTTTAACAACTAATCATGTAGTTCCTTATGACATTTCTTGTACTTCGTATAGCTCTTTGGGCCTCAGTCTTTCATTGGTGAAAATGAAAGGGTCTGTGTCTCCTCACCGGCCAATCCCACTGTTTATTTGGTTCTTCTTTTCCTATGACTACTCATTTACATGCCCTGGAGCACAATTAAACTCGGGCATGTTAAGGAAAAGTGTTCAGGACTTCTGAGTTTGAGTTAAATTTGGTTATTAAGAAAATATACTCTATAGATATTTTATCTGGTAGTTGTAACAGTTGCTATCCTAGCGTATGTGTGCTCTGACGGTAAGAAACAGCTGTTTCAGATACCGGTGGTACAGGTGTGGCTTCAACATGGAAAGATTAATAACAGGCTGACTCAGATTCTTTCCTCTACCCCTGATTTTATGTGTGTATGTGCTCTCATTCTTGTATCAAAAGGCAGATCCATTTAGTAACTCAGAATTGTTTAGAGCAATGGCAAAACCATAATTTGAGGTACAACATGTCAGTATATTTACTTTACATTTCAGCAGTCATTTGGGGAAGAATCTACAGTTGCTGATGGACAGAGTGGATGAAATGAGCCAAGATATCATCAAATATAACACGTACATGAGAAACACTAGTAAACAGCAGCAGCAGAAACATCAGGTTCGTATTATGTAAAAATTCAACAAACATCATCGAATTCATTTCTCTAAGTATGACACTTCAAGAGTCATCTTCAAAATGATCTAAATTATCTTTGGTAAATCATTGACTGTTAGCTAGTGACTGTGTCATATTTACAAAGATTTTTTTTTTCTAAATATTGTTTCTATGTATTTTTCTTTATATAGTATTGTATGTTCCTAATATATTATCTACAAGCTGGACTTGAAAATGCCTATCTTAAGACAATTGGTGTATTAAGCTCAGATTATGATGCCCAAGTTATGCAGATAAGAGGTACATGTATTGAGTAAAGCAGAGGGAAAGAGATTCCAAAATGTCACAGCTCATTTCTTTACCAGCTATAATTGGGTTGGTAGTGACTCATTGCAGCATAGTCAGTAATCTTCAGTTCATTTGAAAAACTGAGCAACTGTGATTAAGAGGAAGCAATTTTGATAGGAAATAATAGACCAACTGCTGTGAAATAGATAGTATAATACAGATGAAAACGCTAGAATTACCTGCATATTCTCACATGCACATATATGATGCTGTGGCCATTTAACCTTTTCTTTATTAGTGTTGCCTGAAGGCCACAGGATTTTCAGAGTTCCTGGAACATTGTTTTTGGACTGTATTGCTCTAAAATGTTCTTAGCATTTGATTCATAGATAAGTTAATTCTACAATGTTTATCTGTGAAAATAGTGTTTGACTATTGTGTTTCTTAAAACGAACTTTAAACTAGGTGCTGTTAATATAGAATTCTAAGCACAACTAAGTAGTTCTGAGAATAGTGTGTTAAAAAATTCTAAATATTAGAGTTCCTACATTTAGTAAAATTTAAAATACATTGTTTTTACCATATTTAGAATTGAGAAAGCATAAATTTGTAAAGTATCTTCTTTAACTGAAGAGATGTGTTTCGAAGTCTCTGATAACCCAGCTTGATTCTGTTCTCTGACTGGTCCTTCATGTAGGTAAAGGACTAGCCTGTGGTATCAAAGTGAATATCTCCCATCTCTGAGACAGTTGATTCTGGAAACCAAATTTACAGATAACTTTTTGGAATTCTAATATCTTTAAATTTAGCAAAATTTTACATTTATTCAGACCAGCACCATTCAAGATTTATCTCATGTTACTCTCATACCCCATAAAAGACTACAAGAATCTTTGCAAAACAGGTTACTCTTCTTCTTTAGGAAGAGCTGTCCTTTCAATTTTCATAGGAATCCAAGGACTAAATTTTTACTAACCCACCTTGGTTTCTCATTACTTGCCTATGTGTAAGATACTGTTTCCTCTGTTGTTGCAAGAAACTCACAAACACAGTGAAACCTGTGAAAGCCAGAACTCAACGAGACTGCCTTTTTTTTCCGGGTTTGGCATGTTTTCCACTTCTGGCAGGGTGCAGTCTTACTACTTTTCTATCTCCCCCTTCTAGTGGAAAAGATTTGAATTTTCCCTCTCTGACAGGTTTCCTCCTTACACAGATTCCGGCTTTCAAAGGTTTTATGTATTAGCTCTTGACTATAATTGATCTGTAGTTTCCAGTTGATTTACAACACACACACATACAGATAAAATATATATAGGTAGTTCCCAACTTAAGATGGTGTTCTATTCCGATGACTCCATCATGAGTCAGTTCTGACATAAGTCAAATACCTCCTTTTTTTTTTTTTTTTAGTTTTCATTATTACTGCCTTTTATTATCAGTATCTTTATAAATCCACCACTCGTCTGTCAGTTTGTTGTAGTGTAGTGGCTTGTGTATTGCTGTGATGCTGAAAGCTATGCCGCCGGTATTTCGAATACAAGCAAGGTCACCCATGATGGACAGGTTTCAGTGGAGCTTCCAGATGAAGACAGACTAGGAAGAAGGACCTGGCAGTCTACTTCTGAAAAAATTGGCCAGTGAAAACCTTATGAATAACAGCAGAACATTTTCTGATACAGTGGTAGAAGATGAGCCCCTCAGGTTGGAAGGCACTCAAAATCCGACCTGGGGAAGAGCTACCTCCTCAAAAGAGTCAACCTTAATGATGTGGATGGAGTGAAGTTTTCAGGGCCTTCATTTGCTGTTGTGGCATGACTCAAAATGAAAAGAAACAGCTGCAAACATCCATTAATAATCAGAATGTGTAATGTACGAAGTATGAATCTAGGAAAATTGGAAGTAGTCAAAAATGAAATGGAACACAAAAAGATCAATATCCTAGGCATTAGTGAGCTGAAATGAACTGGTTTTGGCCATTTTGAATCAGACGATCATATGGTCTGCTATGCCGGGAATGACAAAATGAAGAGGAATGGTGTCTCATTCATCATCAAAAAGAACATTTCAAGATCAATCCTGAAGTACAACGCTGTCAGTGAGATAATATCCATATACCTACAAGGAAGACCAGTTGATGTGGCTATTGTTCATATTTATGCACCAAGCACTAATTCGATAAATGAAGAAATTGAACACTTTTACTAGCTTCTGCAGTCTGAAATTGATCAAACATGCAGTCAAGATGCATTAATAATTACTGGTTATTGGAATGCAAGAGTTGGAAGTAAAGACGGAGGATCAGTAGTTGGAAAATAACGGCCTTGGTGACAGAAATGACATAGGAGATTGCATGATAGAATTTTGCAAGACCGACAACTTTTCATTGCGAATAACCTCTTTTCAGCAACATGAACAGCGACTATACATGTGGACCTCGCTGGGATGGAATACACAGGAATCAAATCGACTATGTCTGTGGAAAGAGACAATGGAGAAGCTCAATATCATCAGTCAGAACCAGGCTAGAGGCCGACTGTGGAACAGACTATCAATGGCTCTTATGCAAGTTTAAGCTGAATTTGAAGAAAATTAAGACAAATCCAGGAGAGCCAAAGAACGACCTTGAGTATATCCCACCTGAATTTAGAGACCATCTCAAGAATAGATTTGACTCTATTGAACACTAATGACCGAAGATCAGACAGGTTGTGGGATGACATCTAGGACATCATACATGAAGAAAGCAAAAGGTCATTAAAAAGACAGGAAAGAAAGAAAAGACCAAAATGGATGTCAGAAGAGACTCTGAAAGTTACTCTTTGAACGTAGAGTAGCTAAAGCAAAAGGAGGAAATGATGAAGTAAAAGAGCTGAACAGAGGATTTCAAAGGGTGGCTCGAGAAGAAAAAGTATTATAATTCAGTGTGCGAAGACCTGGAGATAGAAAACCAAAAGGGCAGAACATGCTTGGCATTTCTCAAGCTGAGAGAACTGAAGAAAAAATTCAAGCCTCAAATTGCATTATTGAAGGATTCTTTGGGCAAAATATTGAACTACACAGGATGCATCAAAAGAAGATGGACTACACAGATTCACTGGACTGAAAAGAATTGATCAGTGTTCAACCATTTCAGGAGATAGTATGTGATCAAGAACTGATGGTACTGAAGGAAGAAGTCCAAGCTACACTGAAGGCATTGGTGAAAAACAAGGCTTCAGGAACTGATGGAATACCAATTGAGACGTTTCAACAAATGTATGCAATGCTGGAAGCGCTGTGCCAAGAATTTGAAAGACAGCTACCTGGCCAACCAACTAGAAGAGACCCATATTTCTGCCCATTCCAAAGAAAGGTGATCCAACCAAATGTGGAAACTATTGAACAATATCGTTAATAATCACACACAAGTAAAATTTTACTTAAGATCATTCAAAAATAGTTGCAGTAGTACCTCTCCAGGAAACTGCCAGAAATTCAAGCCAGATTCAGAAGAGGACGTGGAACAAGGTATATCACTGCTGATGTTAGATGGATCTTGGCTGAAGGCAGAGAATTCCAGAAAGATGTTTACCTGTGTTTTATTGACTATGCAAAGGCAGTTGACTGTGTGGATCATAACAAATTATGGATAACATTGCATAGAATGGGAATTCCAGAACACTTAATTGTGCTCATGTGGAATCTGTACATAGACCAAGGCGCAGTCCTTCGAACAGAACAAGGGGATGCTGCATGGTTTAAAATCAGAAAAGGTGTGTGTCAGGGTTATATTCTTACACCTTACTTACTCCATCTGTATGCTGAGCAAATAATCTGAGAAGCCAGACTCTGTGAAGAAGAGTGCGGCATCAGGTTTGGAGGAAGACTAATTAACAGCCTGTAATATGCAGATGACACAACCTTGTTTGCTGAAAGGGAAGAGGATTTGAAGTGCCTACTGATGAAGATCAAACACTAAAGCACTGAGTATGGATTACACCTCAACATAAAAATCCTCACAACTGGACCAATAAGCAACATAATGATATATGAAGAAAATACTGAAGTTGTCAAGGATTTCATTTTACTTGGCTCCACAATCAACACTCATGGAAGCAGCACTTGAGAAATCAAAGGACGGATTGCATTGGGTAAATCTGGTACAAAAGACCTCTTTCAAGTGTTGAAAAACAACGATGTCACTATGAGGACTAAGGTGCACCTGACCCAAGCCATGGTATTTTCAGTCATCTCATATGCATGGCAGAGATGGACAATGAATAAAGAAGACCAAAGAAGAATTGATCCCTTTGAATTACGGTGTTGATGAAGAATATTAAATATAACATGGATTTACGAAAGAACAAACAAATCTTTCATTGGAAGTACAGCCAGAATGCTACTTAGAAGGGAGGATGAAAAGACGTCTTGCTACTTTGGACGTGTTATCAGGAGGGACCAGTCCCTGGAGAAGGACGTCGTGCTTGGTAAAGTAGAGGGTCAGTGAAAAAGAAGAAGACCCTCAGCGAGATGGATTGACATGGTGGCTGCAACAATTGGTTTAAACATAGCAACGATTGTGAGGATGGTGCAGGACCCCAGGCAGTGTTTCATTCTGTTGTACTCAAGGTCGCTATGAGTCTGAATTGACTCGACATCTCCTAACAGCATCTTTATAAATCCAGTCTTTGGTGGTTGGCATGGGAATGATAACATCAGCAAATTGCACACTGCAACATTGTATGTAGTACATATTACTGATGATGGGATATACCTCCCGCCCCCGGAAAAAGAAAAAAAAGGATGATCCTAAGTGCAATTTGTCTTAATTTGAATACATCATAATTCGAGGACTATCTTTATTTTAAAAAATACGTATTTTTTCCCACCTTCTTTTCAGAGAATCATAGGAATCCAGTCTTTGAAGCATCATCTGAGCTAGTTTTCTTTCTTAGCCAAGACACAGAGCAGATGCTTATCTCTTATTAAGGATAGTAATAATAATAAAAATAACAATGATAATATCATCAGAATTGTTATTTTATTTCAGTAGGGATAAAGCTGAAAGAATTCCCCAGTGTAGTAGTTCATTACTTAGTTATTAAAGTTAGGGTCTGTGTAATGCTGTCATTTACCCCATTGTAATAAATGGTAAGCTCACTCCGTTTCACTCACCAATCACAAGCTTCTTTGCCTTTTAAGTCCCTGTTACTTATATGCCAGTTTTGTTTTTCTGAATTAGTTATAGACACTTCTAGCTCAGAGTGACAGTAGAGTTTACAATAAGGGAGATTTATTGGACCGTTGCCATATTTAGCTACTTGGAAGCAAGAATTACCAATGGTTACAGTTTATAAAACTGAAATTGGAGTTCAGAGCAATAGGGTTTTGCTGGTTGCATCAGTGAGGGAGGTCTTTCTTCTTCTTGAAGTGGAGAAAAATAACGAAATCCTTTTCTCTCTGAATTTTAGTATCAGCAGCGACGCCAGCAGGAGAATATGCAGCGCCAGAGTCGAGGAGAACCCCCGCTCCCCGAGGAGGACCTGTCTAAACTCTTCAAGCCACCCCAGCCCCCTGCCAGGATGGATTCGCTGCTCATTGCAGGTATTGTTAGCCAGTGCAGAAACCTGGTCAGTTTTCTCTGTCCGCTTAGGAAGTTGAAGACTATGAGAAATCCAGAAGCAGAAAAATATACTAAAAAAGCTACTGTGTTTAAAATGGTTGAATGATGAATCTGGCATCTGTAATTTCTGATATTTAAGAATTCGTAAGTCAGTGTTATTTCTGATGTCCTTTCAGTGCTTCACTCTGAATACATCTAAATATTTTGAGATGGCATTTTAAATTTCCTAAAATGGCATGGCTGTATTTGAGTCATCTTTCACGGAAACCAAGAAAAAACATTTACAATCATAATGAAAAAGATAATTTGGCTGAAACCCCTTACTCTTTAGTTTCTAGCTTAGCATTGAGCCCATATCTGTACAAGAAGGTGCTTGAGTGGAATTGAATTGAATTTTTTGAGTGGAAGAAAAGTACCTTTCCCTTACTTTGACTTAAATTGTGGCAACATAAGTGTAATTCTGGATTGACTTTATTTGGAGATACTTAACATTTAACACCAGCTATCTAGATACGCCTCAGAAGAAAGGCCTGGTAATCTACTTCCAAATATTGAGTCATTGAAAATGCTGTGGAGCACAGCTCAACTCTAATGCACAGGGGTTGCCATGAGTTGGAATTGACTTGATGGTAACTGGTTTGGTTTTTTGGTTTAATGTAGTGGAGACCTTCCACCCTATGGTAGGACTTGATTTAAATATATTAACATTCATGTTCTTACTTGGCTGTAATAACCTTACTTAAAAAAAAAAAAAAAAAAAACAGTTGCTATCCAGTCAGTTCTGACTCATGGTGACCCCATGTGTGTCAGAATAGGACTGCACCCCATAGAGTTTTCAGTGGCTGTGACCTTCTGGAAATAGATTACCAAGACTTCCTTTCAAGGCACCTCTGGGTGGATTTGAACTGCCAACCTTTCCGTTAGTAGCTGAGCACACAACTGTTTGTGTCACCCAGGGAGTCCTTAATAATAGTAGTCTTCTTTGTAAATGTTGTTGTTAAATACTGTTTGGTATTATTAGAGTGAAAGTCTTACTCAAAGAAAAGCTGATGTTTCATAATTTCTCTATTCTATTGATATATTTTTAGTGTGGGAAAAAATCCAGATTCCTTAAAACTTTCTAATATAAATTAAATTTAGGAAACTGAGACATTTGAAACAGATTTGTATTTTTTATACTTTCAAAAAAATGTGTGAACAGCTTAACAACAATAAGATGGACAACCCCATTAAAAAATGGGCAAAGGATTTGAACAGAGTTCACCAAAGAGGATATTTATATGTCCAACAAACACAAGAAAAGATGCTTATTGTCGTTAGCTATTAGAGAGATACAAATCACAATTGAGATACCACCTCACCCCATTAGAATAAAAAAAAAACAAAAACCAAACCCGCTGCCATCGAGTCAATTCCAAGTCATAGCAACCCTATAGGACAGAGTAGAACTGCCCCCCAAGGAGCGGCTGGTGGATTCGAACTGCCGACCTTTCAGTTAGCAGCCGAGCTGTTAACCACTGTGCCACCAGGGCTCCCTTACTGGAATAGCAGTGAACAGAAAAACGGAAAACAGTGGGTGCTGGTGAGGTTGTGGAGAAACTGGAACCCGCATCTGTTGCTGGTGGGAATGCAAAATGGTACAGCCACTGTGGAAAACAGTTTGATCCTTGCTGAAAATGTTGAACATAGAGCTACCATATGACCCAGCGGTCCCAGTCCTAGGTATGTACACAGAAGAAATGAAGGCAGGAGTGCAAACAGAAAACTGTACATCAGTGTTCATTGCAGCACTTTTCATAATAGCCAGCAGATGAATGGATAAACAAAATGTGATACATACGTACATACAATGGAATAGTAAAGCACATTGCCATCTAGTCGATTCTAATTCGTAGTGACCCTATAGGACAGAGCAGAACTGCTGCACAGGGTTTCCAAGGCTGTAAATCTTTAAGGAAGCGGACTGCCACATCTTTCTCCTATGGAGCGGCTGATGGGTTCAGACCGACCTGGTTAGACCTGGTTAGCAGCCAAGCACTTAATCACTGCACCAGGGGAGGGCTCTTACTCACCCGTAAAGAGAAGTGAAGTCCTGATACATGCCACAACGTGGATGAACCTTGAAAACATCACGGTGATCAAAATAAGTCAGTCAGTAAGACAAATACCGTATGATCTCACTTATATAAAACAAGAAAATATATAGAAGCTAAAGATTACTAGTGGTTACCAGAGGTGAGAGGGAGTTTTTACTTAGGGGGCATTGAGTTTATGTTAATGGTGGTGGAATGATTTGGAAGAGGATAGTGAGAATGGTTGTAAAACTTGGAAGACCGTAATCAGTGTCACAGAATTGTACATATAGAAATTGTTGAGTTGGCATATGTTTTATTATGTATATTTTCACCACATTAAAAAAAAAATGTATATATATATAAGGGGGTTAAAATGCCTGACTATTGCATCAGACCATTGGTTTTAAGACTTAAAAAGCAATGATGGAGTCCTTTCTTCAAGTGGACTCTGCTCCTGCTCTGCTTGGGTGGAGAGAGGGCTCCAGAGGCACTCTGGATGAACCCTTACATTTCCAAACTGAGCATTTCCACACCGAAAGCTACTAGCTCATTTCTGGGTCAGGTGAGTCGGGTTTATTTTCAGCTCTATGATTTTATGTTTTTGTATCTCCTTTCCACCTTGCTAAGGAGAGCCAGTGCTGTTTTCTCAGTTGCCCTAGTATAGTGCTGGTCTGATCTGCACAGACAGTACATTTTGACTGACAGCTAGTATGTATTTACTGCTGATGGCCTTTTAAAAAGTTGTGGTTTTTCTTCATTTTCCATGTTAGAACTGATTCTTATAAATTCTTGATTAAAAAAAAATACTGCTGATATTCTTGTTTGACTATATTGTTCTTGGTCATTTTACGATTTGTGGAACACATAATGACGTATTCTCTTTCTCCGTTTCCCAAATGCACAGGCCAGATTAACACTTACTGCCAGAACATCAAGGAGTTCACTGCCCAGAACCTAGGTAAACTCTTCATGGCCCAGGCTCTTCAAGAATATAACAGTTAAGAAAAGGAAGTTCCCAGAAAAGGAGTTAGCATGGACTCTTGAGATCACATTGGGGCAACTCTTAGAAGAAAGAGTTTGCATATTGAAGAGCACAGGGGATTCCTTTAATGTCATTGGCTCTGATATTATCTTTCAAGCCAAAAATAAAATAAAACTTGTTTTCATAGTCTTGACTACTTGCTCACTGGTTTCAGACGCATTTTACTTAGTTTGTTTTTGTTTTGCCCATACCTATGTGTTCATTCCCAAATGATAAAACAAGGCTTGACCAGAAGTCTCACCAGGCTCAGACTCATAAGCTGCACCTTTGCCACCTCTGAGGTGTCACATTGCAACCACTCAATCGAATGCCGTTTGTCCTAACTTCTGACCCAGAGGCCCTGACACCTACTGTGAATTTTTATACCCTCATTGCTCCCAACTGAGCACCTGCCCCTGCAAGCCCAGGCTTCATGTACTTGTCCAGGAGTCTCTTTTTCCCATGCCTGGAATTGCTTGTCCTACTTTCTGTAGGTCCACCTTTTCAGTTCTTAAAGTGATGGTCGGCCAGTCCCTGGCTCACAAGCCAGTGGTCACAGGAATTTAAAAACATAATTCATAATTTCACCAAAGTACTGTGTGTTGTATGAAAATGAAATTCTTTGTGTATACGGTTTTATTTTCACTTTGGATTTATTGTTGATCTTTCCATTCCATGAAATACTATTCTGTCAACAGTGAGTGCTGGGAGTGGAAGAGAAGGGATTGGGAGAACAGTAGTGCTTTGGAAAAAAAGGATTTTCATATTTGAAATATTATTTTAAAAAATCCTGTGTAAAACAAAACATCAGTGAGATCTACCGGCTGGTGGGGGTGTACCTATGAGACTCCTACATGGTGATTTTTACCATGAAGACCTGGACCCTTGGAGGATTGCTGATTCTTAAAAAGGGGGATGAATAAAAGATAAAGAGAGTTGATAAATCCTTTTTTGGACAGCATTGTTTTGAAGGCGTCACTAGGACTCTGGGGTCAGGTAGTGACATTGAAACCTGGCTCTTCCCCTCTTAGTGTGTCTTGGGTAACCTCCCTCTGCTTCAGTTTCTTTATCTGGGTGAAATAAGGAACAGGGACAAGAGTATTACAGGGGATTGCTGAAGTGTTAAAAGAAGTCAATTCCATACTATGAAATAGTCTCATTGATTTTTGGTTTTATACAGGATTTTTTATAACCTTTCAAATTTAAAATTATGAAAATACATTTTTTTTCCAAAGCACTACTGTTCTCCCAATCCCTCCTCCTCCATTCCCAATACTCACTGTTAATAGAATAGTATTTCATGGTATGGAATTAACTTCTTTAACACTCAACAGTCACACTATAAGGGAATATTCTTGTCTCCATTTCTTATCTGGATAAAGCAAGTAGAACAGAGGTTGGTATACAGTGGCACTCTATTATTTATGATGAGAGGTACACACTAGGCAGTCCATTTAGGATATTGGGTTGGTAGCAGGTTTCTGCTTTTACAAAAACTCAGGACCGTGAAGAACATCCTTAAATCCAGGTTTTTGCTCAACGTATGTAATTGCCTAGGAGAAATTCCTAAAAGTGGACTCGCTGGTCAAAGTTATGCAGAAATTTAAGGCTTTTTACCTGTATTGCTAAATTGCCTTTAAGACAGATAATACTGATCACCTGTGGTGATTCTTTATTTGAGTCAACAAATATTTGAGTGTGACTGTGGCAGGCAGAGAGGGTATATTAATAAACAAAACTAGTCATGGTCCCTGCCCTTGTGGATTTTATACTTTGTTGGCTCATTTTCCTGCATTCTAATTGTATTGGTTTCCTAGATTTGGAATTTCATTGTAGAGTGCCCTTGAAGTTTCACAGAGCAAAATAAAAGGAAAATCAGTTCAAACAAATCCTTAATTGATATCTTCCTGATGGTGAAACATTACAGTGAAACTTGTGAGAGCCGGAACTCAATGGAACTGCCTTGTTTTTCTGGGTTTTGCAAGTTTTCTGCCTTTAACAGGGTGCAGTCTTACCACTTTTCTATCATTCTCTCTTAGTGGAAAATATTTGAGTTTTCCTTCTCTGGCAAGTTTCTGTTTTACATAGGTTCTGGCTTTCATAGGCTTTACTGTGTATTTTTGAAAGGTGTGATCTTTCTTAAATTCCATATGATCATTCAGACACCCATAACTCATGGAAGTACATGAATACATGCTTAATGGAAGAATTCAGTAGTTTTTAAAGAGTTAGGAATTACTGTAAGTGGGAAGAATTGTTTAGGACAATATGTCAATGGAAATTAAATCTCCACAGTATGTAGTGTTAGGGAATAGCTTCTGCTCAGCAGCATTTGATTTGAGTGCTATATTCTGACATTTTTCAGGAACAAATACATGTGGTTCATCTTCTCTAAATATTTGCAGTTTCTTCAAGTTGAAATGAGGAAAGCTCATAAACCAAGTACTAGGTCTAATAAATCATTCACTTACCCATGAACAAAAAAGACAGAAAAAGCTAGCCTGTTAATCTAAGGGAAGATTAAATGTTAAGAACCAAGAAAGTAAACCATTATTGAGATTTACCCCATAATTATTAATACTGCTTTTAATGAGGGAATGAATCTTCTTTGGCTTGCCCAAGATACTTTATACTTTTAATACTGATGTAAGCGAAAAAATTTTTTTTTTCCATTTATGGAAGCTTGGAAATTGAGATATAGTTGTTTAATGTTAGCCTAATTAATGGAGCTTGGTGTGATTTCTCATTTACAGCATCTAAATATTTTAATTTTTGTGTCTTCTAGAGTGTTACTGTATTGTTCACACTATGTTTTTGTAACACCCTTTAGAAAACCTATGTCAGCTACACTTTCAGATGATGCTGGCATTGAACTCCGTCTGATGTGGGGATATTAGAATGTTTATTTGAGTTGTAAACTCCATTTTTAGAGTAAAAATTTATTTTATTTGAATTAAATATGTAATACACCATTTATCAATATTTTTGTCTTCCCACCGGGCATCTTTTTTTTTCTATGGTAGTTCTCTATCTTTTCTCATCCTCTTCCACTCCCTTTTTTTTCATTTAACAAGTATTTATCGAGTCTGTACTATGTGTCAAGTGCTCAAAGTTACAAACGACACAGAATCTATGCCCGAGCTTGTTAATTGGTTAGCAAATGCCCCTCTGAGCATGGGGCAAGAGTGCTTAAAAGGATAATACTAAGCTGGGCCAAGCCAGATGGCTGTAGAGCTTATTTTAGCAAGTAACTCAAATGTCCATCTCTTGTAAGTATGATAAAGTCATCCAAGAAAGTAAGAAGTCGTAAGTGCCTTGGAGAGTGCTTTGGTCCATCTGAACAGAGAATCCCTTCCCAACTTGGGATGTATGGAAGGGGTCACAGTGATTAGTAGGCATGTCAGGAAGGGAAGGATCAAGAGCTGCAAAGGTGAGGGGAAAGCAGTGAATGTTTTCTGAATCCCATAGCATAAGAGTGCTGCAGTGTAAGGCCCACTTAGGTATTTGACTGTGACTCCCAAATTGGATTCCTAATCTCTTCGGATGAATTTAAAAACAGGGGTTGATCTGACTCCAAATTACTTAAGAAATGGCGTGAGGAGATGGGGAACCAGAGCTACCCGGAAATTAGAGTTTGCTGCAGCAAACTGCTACGGCCTAACACCCATTGGGAAGAATCTGCTTTGAGCCTTATTACGTAGATGCACACTCTCTATACCATGTTATAAATAAGACTGTTTGGCTCCACAGCTACAGGCGGGACCAACGGCTATACTGAAGCCTCAGTTGTGATTTTAGGGAGTTTGGGCTATTCTCAAGGGGTTTGATCTATCCCAGATCCTCCAAGTACCTCCTCGTTATCAGGCTGTTAAGCCCTCACATAACTGCCATGTGATCAATTTATTAAAAGCCACAATTTGATTCCATGGACTTAGATTTTGAGTCCAATTGCATTTTCTTAGAACTATGAGTTAGGCAGTCTATTTTCAGTCCTTTCATTGAATCAATGGCAAGCAGTCTGAAGACTGAGGAGAGCCTCAGAATCTTGCTAACGTAAGTATTCGCCCTGGAAGCACTGTGAGTTGAGGGGATAGTAGATGGGGTACTGAATCATGCGTACTCTAGAACTTGCTGGAAGTCCTTTGAAACAGATTACTGATACATGTTTAGTTTCTTAACGTGCATTTCCTCCCCCTGAAAATCAAGTATAAGAAAATTCTAATATTCTAATATTGTACTGTAAAGAAAACTAAAAAAAGACTTAAAAATATGGTAGTTCATATTTATAGGTTCTTTTTCTCTTCCTTTAATAAAATCACTGAGCAAAAGTGAAGGACTCTACCACTTCTTCAGTCCGTTAACAACTCAAGGTGACCTGTTTCCACGTGTCCCTATTTAAAGTTGAGTTGATTGCGGTAGAAAAATATTCTTATTGCTTCTGGCATTTATATCAACCTCAAGACATAAACTCAGGTGTCACTTCTATTTCCTTCACTAATATTTTTTTGTATTGACCCTTCTCCAGGGCACAGTCATTTCTGGCATCTTCCATCTTCCTTTGTGGACATAGAGGCAAAGGATTTGTTTAACTTTCAGCGGTGTTTACCGCTTCTGACAGTAAATGGCCCTTGCCTTCTCTTCTTGGACCCGTAGTCTCTCTTGCCAGTGTCTTGCTTTGTGTGTATTGGAAACGGTTCTTATTTTGTCAGATCTTCTGGGTAATCTTTCTCCACCTTTGTTTGTCTTGTCATTTGGCTTTTACTTGCTTAACTCATTCCTAGATTCAATCTGCCTGTGGTTCTTTAGTTTTGATACTTGCTCTTCTCCATTTTGAGCTTTAAAAATTAGATTTCATTTTTAAAAAGTCACAAAGATTTTAATTTTCCCGTAATCTAATCACACATTCCTGACTCAGTTCTCCAGTCAGACAGGCAAATGTCCCCATAACCTCATCTCCCAGATCACAATGATGAGGGTCTATTTTTCTCTGATGCGTGCAGCTCTCATTATTGCTAATGAAAGGTCTTCATGTGCATTAAGGGGAAACTAGACCTCTAATGAGATACAAAGAGGAATTGCAGCTGATGATTTCCACTTCTAGCCCACTGTAACAGAAATGCACTCTCAGAAGGCAATGGGCCAAAGAAATATAAAATGCACGTGCTGCCTACAGAAATATCTAGTCGTGCCTTAATGGACAGGAGGTGTTGTTTTGGCTTGTAGTCTCCCTGAGATTCCATACCAGCTGACGGGCACCCCTGTCATGGGGGTGAAAGACCCCTCAGGTACTTGGACAAAAAAGCGAATAGGCTACTTATATTTAAAACAGCTTTTAAGAGCAATCTCCTACATTAATATTTTACAATTCACAATGTACTTGCTCATGTATTTTCTCATTGGGAATGGGAAAGGAATAGAAATGCATTATGAAGCCAATGTGCTCAGTACTGAGAATACTAGGCAATGAGACAGAGTTCCTGCTCAGGAATAATGAAACCAA